GGGGGAATAGGTTCAGTTAACCAAGACTGTAAACTTTCCTGTCTCTAACATCTTCTTGGGCTACCACCCAAAGATTTGTTGTGTGGAATTATAATCACTGTCTTTCTCACCCTGGCTCACCAGGGTTATAGGTCACGAAAACAACACTTTCCACCTTTCCCTAGCCTGGACTATAGCCTTCTCTAGATACTATTCCACATCTCCGCACTTTTCTGAAAATCATTCGCAGTGACTCTTCTCCAGATTCCACATGGGCTTCCCCTTAATCTCATTTGTGGAATGGAACGAATATGTTGTGCTAAAAATAACTTTCTCTGGTAACCCTTAAATGTTTTCATTTTTTAAGTCATAAAGGATAAAGGTGTAGAAGAAAAGAGGGTGATTATAACAGAGCAAGCCCCCTACAAGGACAACCATGTGGAATATCATCTCATCACTTTTACACACACACCCCCCCCTTCCTCAACTCCCCTTTTTTTAGCACTATTAATATAAAAAATGCACTTTCCAATTAACAAAAAAATGTTGCATAGCTATGCATGAAGTGTGAGAAGGAAATATTTATTGCAAAGGTAGAATTAATCTTTGAAGTACAATATTAGTAAACTATGTATATGTATAATCAAAGTCACAGTTAAAAACTACCATTGCCTAATTACAACCAATGTTAACACTGCACCTGACTATATAATATATATACATACTTAGTGAGAGCCACAAAGCAAGGTTATCATCATTCACAAAATCGATACCACAATAGTGAGGGACACTAACAATAAATAAATCAGCAATGTCATAACATAGTAAGAGAAAAAGAATACCCACTCATTGAGGGCATGCATCAAAGACACACTGGGTTAGTAAGTAAGTAAGTAGACAAGTAGACAGACAACCCTCTTACCATCCACACAAACACCACACAAATGCTAAATGCAGCAAAAGGAAAACAGCACCCACAGAGAAAAAGAAAATGTTAAAAAAAAAAAAAAACATGCATATTTTGGAAGGGCATTTCACTTGGTGTCTGGAGGTGCTCGTAAGTGTTCCTGGGGCGAGGGACCAGCCCTATAAAAATGTCTTGATATGGGAACTGACCATAAATCTACATTGTAGAGAGGGGAATCTTTTGATCTCCATGATAAACCCCATTATTAATAATTAATGATACTCAAATAGCAAAATGCTCATTGTAAAAGGCTCTTCAGAAGAAGAAATTTAAAAATTTCATTCACTCTTTTTCTTTCAAATCCGACTATCAAACCATCTACCATATCAAAACTCATTCCATGCTGACAATATTTTTCAACCAACAGTAGTTAACTGAGAAGTGAAGGAACTCGGTAAAGACAAACATTTTCACCACCAAAGATATAACATATTCTACTCCAACCAAACTGCCATTAATTTTATCTAACCTGCAGTAGTTTTATAGGAGAGAAGAAGAACTAACTAAAGACGATAATTTGGCCACAAAACAACTATCCAGGCGCTGAGAGCTAACTGCTTTAGCAGCAGCGTCAGCGCCACACAGCCCGTCGGTGGTACAACAAAGTCAAAGCAGCAGACAGTGACCAGACAGTGGATCACACAAAGACTAGAAAGTTTGTTTTAGTAAGTGTTTTACGCCACTTGCAAACACAATAAGACTAGAAAGCATCTACACAAGAAGCCAATGAGGGAGGAAAGGGCAGCGCAAACCAGTAAGATGTGGGTGGGGTGGGGTAGAGAAAGCAGAGACAGAAAAGCAATTGAGAAAGTCCCCTAGTGGGGAGCAGCTTGCTACGGACTGACTCTCTCCTCAGCCGACTACTACCTGGATGGACGGGGAGTTGATGGGAAAGCTTATACACCTACAATTCTGCATTAGTTTTTAGCTTATTCGCATACAACTCTGTAAAATTTCTTGGCTTACACACCTGCAGCTGTTTTAGTTCTTAACTTAAATTTACATACAAATCTGCATTAGTTCTTTCCTGATATTCACCTTCAACTCTGTGTTAGTTCTTAGCTTATATCCACCTACATCTCAATACAGGTTCTTAGCTTATTCACCTACAACTTTGTAGAATCAGATTCAACAAAATCAATCTACGATTTATCAATCTGATCAGAATACCTCGTACCATCATTAGAAAAGAATACATGTACACCCCAGATTTATTTTCAAATGCACCAACTAAAGTTGATTGCCATGGGATAAATATACATCAAATCTACACCTTTCCACTTTAAGAAATTTTCCAATGAGAGGAGACAATGATCACCAGCCAGTAGAACAAGAATATATTGTTTCAGAATGACAAAAGAGTCTGGTTTGAGCAGAGACTAGCTCACAGGCACATACAAGGCCGTTTAGGTCTGAGAAAAAAGCAAGGTAGATAAAACTAGAAAAACAAGAAAAAAAAGTACAGAGCCAACAACTGGCACCCTCCAACCACCCACTCAGGTCCTGAGATAAATATCCATTCACAAGATCAGTTTTTTTGCTGAGCATCATGTCGTCTATTCTGTCTCACCAGCAAGCCTGGACTGAACACTACACAGGGGCAACACTGAAAGTTGCCACTCTAAATCACTTAGGAGCTATCCAAACACCAAAGACCCTCTACCCTGTTGTCCGCACCTTCAATCTATCCGAGAGAACTGTAAGATCCACAAGCACACCTATATTTAGCTTAGCGTGGGAACACAAAGACATCAACACACACACACAACTATACTTAGCTTAGCATGGGAACACACAGACATCAACACATGACACACACACACCCACAGGATCATTAGAACAACACTGAAATTAAGATACAATTGTGCGCGCACACACACACACGCACAGAGACACATAAGACTCCTGGCTTTAGAGCAACCCAACCAACTTTAAGCCTAGCCACTGAAACTCACTAGGAACCACTAGTCAGAATATCCCAAACTAGTTTTATTGCTGGTTCCTCCCACGACCTGGGATTGCACACCCCCCCCCCCCAAAGAAATATACTAAAAAAAGGAGGACAAAAAAACCCCCACTTACATCTATCCAAAAAAAAACCCTCACTGCTCTGTTTGAGTAGGCCTACTATAGAGAGAACTCAGATGCAAGCCAAATGAGTGAATGAAATGGATCTGTGAGTTAGTGGAGCAAGTCATGGAGCAATACAGGTGAAATAGGCAAGGTTAGGTAGTGGGTGGGTGGGTGGGGGTAAGTGCTGACCTGCGAACGGCACTCCCGCCGCCACATATGGATCCTGGGCCAGAACATATGGTCCTTGCGTGATTGGGTTTGGGCCCGCAACCCCTGGTGGGAAAATGGAATATTGAAAGAGCTGGGCACACACGTAGAAGCCATGCACCATTTCATATGTATTTTAAAACACAAAAAAAAATAAAAATAAATATATATATTCTTTTTTCTTTTTTTTTTGCACAAGATATAAAAATATACAAAGCTAACAAAGAACATATAGTAGTACATTGGACAGATGTGGCAGTGCAAGTGAAGAAAGACAATAGAAGAAATTCTGACAAAAGATGGAGGTAGGACTACAGATCACAGGAGAGAACTACTAGTCTTACTATATCAAGGTTTACTCGCGTCACCCGACACTGCCTGACAGGGTGAAAGAAAAGACTGTTGGGGAAATTGTATTGATCAATATCAAATACCAAAAGGAAACAGGAAAATGTCCTGATGCACTCACTTCAGAAAACCATTCAACTAGCTCTCGGGATGAAAGACAAAAAGGACATGAACAAGGAAAGTCTATGAAATCTTTTCCTTTTTAAGTTTGAAGCGTCACAAAGACTGTTAGTTCCTATAACCAAAAGGCGAGACAGGTGGGACAACTCTACCATCTTTCTATCAACATTCCTAGTGAACTAATGAACCAGAGGATGGTAAGAAAAGCGATGTGGCAGGGAGAGAAAGGGAAAAAGAGACATCCAGTACAACAATTGTTGTCTTAAAATACCCTGAGAAAGCAGCTCGTACAAGAGTCCAACAGAAAAAAATACACTAAAGAACCGATACAACTGACGCCTGCACCAGAACTCAAAACTGTCACCCATACTGATAATGAAACAAATTCTCCTTCTTTTTTTCCAGGCATGAAGCCTATCACAAGGAAGAAGAAACCAATATGTCATTACCTAAGCCACCTAACAAGAGTTCTAACTAGAGAAATAACTGATCAAGGAGGAAAAAAAAACAAGTACAGGTCGAAAGCAATGATGACGATATCGGAAGGTCCTAATTCGAACTTCGAGTACAATCCTCCAACCTGAGCAACAGACTGGAAAACTAGCAAAGAGGCTAAGAAGCTTACAGGCCTTCACAACCTGGGTGCAGAGTGAGCGGTGACATTGAGACAACATTGCGGCCAACAGAAAGAGCACATCTGGAGAGAAGACCACACAGAACAGCCATGACACAGCCTGAACAAGAAGTGAGCACAACCACTAGAGATTTTTATTGTCCGTCGACTCTACTGCTTTCCACTGAGATAGTGCCACATAGATCTAGACATCTGCTGTGTGCATACAATAGAAGATATTATGATGATGATGTAATACAAAAAAACATAAAAGCAGAACATAAACAGCGTCATGTATACAGAGCTGTAAAACACTTCCTGAAGGACTGCTGATGTTTACACAAAATCCACCCTAAAGTGAGACCATACATCCTAACAAGAGCTGTGGTGAGAGGATAACACAAGCAGACCACAGAAGGCGAACACAAACCACTAGAATGATGAACACGGGTAGAGAGTACACAGGAACACACAACACATACAAAGACACACACACACACACATCCCTACACAAAGAACACACAAGCAAGCAACCCACTCAACGGAGCTAAAGAATAAGATCCACAGAAGAAAAAACCCCACTGCCAACTAGCAAGAGTGACAGGTCATCACGCTACAGCTTTAGTGAGGCCCATATGTCCAACAGCAAAATACATCAATTATTTACCGATAAACATAAAAACAGAAAACCGTTCAGTGTGAGTCAGCTTTGATAAACACCAAACTTTCAAAAGAGAGGGAGGGGAGGGGGGGGGGCATTGTCAATGCATGACAAGAGAGGGAGAGAAAGAAGAATGTAGTGAAGAGGAAAGCCCTCACACTGCGGTGTCCCCGAGCCCAGGAGCTCCAAGCCGCAGCCAACAACAGCAGAGAAAAGGCCAGACCAAAAACAGTCCAACAGGCCCAACCAAGCCAAGCTACCCTACCACTGATGATGACACAAGGGCCTGGCACATTCCTGGCATTAGTTTGTTTTAAATTATAAAAGGATAAAAAAGAAAAAGAGGGGGGGGGGGGGACTATGCTATCCTTCATCAATGCAGTGCCTCTCATTCATGTGTTGAGAGATTCTACGGGCGTGTTGGGACAGACACAGAAGAGACCAGCCCTGTAGTTGAACCTACAGAAATGTATAGTAAGAGGAAAGGGAGTTTCTGCCCACACAAATACGCCGAGAACCCTGCCGAGTAGTTGGGACATAAATAATAGCTTGAATTATGACCTCATCCCATTTTGACAGTTCTCATCCCCC